CTCTTGTGGTTAAGTGTGGGCACTGCATCTATATGGTGCAGACATCCATGCAGGTAAAATACCCACACATGAAATAATCAAATCCCAAAAAATGAACAACACATCTATGACCTGAGTGCTGGTATTCAGAACAAATTCCTATCCACACAAGGCTATCGGTTCTATTCCCCTGGAGTGCTATCTGTGGTAGTTCTGTTCCCCTGGAGGGCCAAATACAGGCCTGATAGCCCAAGCCCACATCCAGAGCTGATACAGAGAGAAGAAGAAATAATATTCCCATCAGTCACCTGCCAGCAAACTCATAGGGCAGCATGTGTAGGGAACAGAACAGAGTAGCCAGGTGGTGGTGGTACACACCTTTAGTTCCAGCACCTGGGAGGCAAAGGCAGGTGGATCTCTGAGTTTGAGGCCAGCCTGGTCTACAGAGTGAGTTCCAGGACAGCCAGCCGAGGCTACCTGAAAACCACCCTCCAAAAGCCCTCCAAGTAATTTTAAAAAAGAAATAGAAAACATTTAAGATATGTAAAGGAAAAAGTCAACTTCTTCATAAGCCAAAAAGAAACTGAAATAATTTCAAAACCTCCAACTTCAACAATTACAAAGATTATTATTCAGACATCTAGGAATAAACCTAAGAAACATGAAAACCTCAAGAAACAAACTTACAAAAAAGTGTTACTTGGCAGTCTCCAAACTTCTGACAAAATGGAGACACATGCTAATAATTAGCCTGGCAGAAACTGCAATATCCATAACACACCAGTAGATCAAGAGTCTGGTGGTGTTGATAGCACATGCTTTTGAACCCAGCATTTAGGGGGCAAAGACAGGTAGGCCTCTGTGAGTTTGAGGCCAGCCTGATCCACAGAGTTCCAGCATGCTATTAGACAGCAAGGCTATCACACAAAGAAATGCTGTCTTGAAAAAACAATGACAAAAATAGACAATGAGAAATCAATCAGCAAGGCAACCAGCCCGAAGGCAAAGCCTTTCAACAGCTGTCTACAGAAAAAGCTAACACTTAGTGACCCCCAATCTCACTATGAACCAGAGCATAACGCTAAAATAGAATTTTTCTCAGATTAACAAAACTATAAAGGTCAGAAATAGCTACTCTCAAAAGAGAAGGGATTGCTGCTCACTCAGGAAGTAGAGTTCCAGGTCAGCCAAGTGATCTAGTGAGAATGAGATCACATCTCCACTGGGTGTGTGCGCACATGTGTGTGTTATCAAGTGTTCTAGGCCTAGCCAGATGCTGGTGGCTTTAATCCACTCCCAGCACTCAGGAGGCAGAGGCAGCTGGATCTGTATTGAGTTCCAGGCCAGCCTGGTCTACAGAGCAAGTTCCAGGACAGCCAGAACTACATACAGAAACCCTGTCTCAAAAAAACCAAAGAGTTCTAGGCCTGCCTATAATACCTAGTAAGCAAGTTTCAGGCCAATCTGGGCCTAATTAGCAGGAGATCAACTATCTCAGTTACAAAGATGTAGAATCATGCATCTCCCTCCTCTCTCCCCCCCCCCCCCCCCGTTTAGTAAGCAAGTCATCATGGTTCAGACATTTTGTAACATGTCTCACAATTTTTTTCTTTTTAAGACTAATAATAGTCCATTTAATATAAATATTTAGGTAATGGTAATGGGATTAGAATTTGGGAAACAGGTTAGGCAAGCACTCTACTTCTAAACTTTAGCCCCAGCCCTTTTTACTTTTTGAGACAGTGTCTCTCACTAAACTTTTAAACCAGCCTTGAACTTGTGATCCTCAAGCCTCAGTGTAGGGTTACATGTACACACCACCACACTGGCCTGGAGCAAGACATTACTAGGAAATCTGGAGGATAACTCAGCAATTAAAAGCACTTTTTATTCTCCAGAGGACTCAGGTCAGTGCCCAGCACCCACATGGTATCTTACAGCCATCCTTAACTCAAGTTCTAGGGAATCTGCTACCTTCTTCTGGGCTCTGGGGTACCAGACATATACACACTGCACATATATGCATGCAGGCAGGCAAAACACTCATACACATGCAAAAAAAAAAAACTTTATTTTTATCAACCCCCCCACACACACATTCAAGACTGTTCAAAATGAGTTGCAGATAAAGAAAGTAGAACAGCTAAGATAATTTTTAAAATACTAAAGTAAAAGGAATCAGGGCACTGGGTTTCAAGACTTATTATTATTTAATGTGGTACTTGAGACAGCATGGTACTGGCATAACAATAGACACATGCTGACTTTCAATGTAGAGTAAAATTCCCTTTGGGGGGAAAAACGGTTTTGGAGCATGTGGACACTCACAGGTCAAACCTGACCCATCCGTGCTGGTTTAAGCCGTACTACAAACAATGTGCATCCAAGAAATGAGAAACAGAAGTGGCCAGGAGGCAAGGAAGGATAAAGGTGGAAAGGAATAGCATTTTCTAAAGAACAGTTTGAGGCCTCCCAATGGCAGTGACATGCCTGTACCCTGACTGTGATACTGCCCTTGGGAGAAACAAGGAAAAGTACATCTCTCTGTAGTATTTCTGAAAAAGAGTTATCACAATCAGATCAATAACTTTGAACGTTGGTCCTAGCAAAGGTTCCTGCCCACTCACCTGCTTCACTTTGACGGTGTAGTGGGGACTCCGGCTTCTCTTAGTCCGAGGAGATTTGCTTCTTCTCCCTGAAGACTTGATTTTCTTTTTGGCTGGGGACCTGATAAGAGCATGGTACACAGAATTTTACCTCAGTGTCTCTTCCCCCAAATAAATAAGCTTTAAGTATCAGGCTCTCCTACTGCCTACTAAACACAACACATTTGTGAAATCACTATTGGAATCACTTCTCCCAAACTCATATACACAACTGCCTGCCAAAGCCTGCTCACTTAAGATACCCTGATTCTTGAACCCCAAAGCTCTTTTCCCAGTTTGTAATCCTACTAACTGACACCACTATCCAGGAAGTAAATCTTGCCTGTGTTTCTTTCTTTCTTTCTTTCTTTCTTTTTTCTTCCTAATTCACCCCTTGTAACCACATCCAATCCCTTGGCAAGTCCTAGGTACCCAGCCTGTCCTCCATCCCACGTCATTCCTACCAGATTACAATGCTCATCCTTCAGCACACAATTCCAGATACACTGCCTGTTTTGTTTCAACTTTTAAAACAAACACAATTCCACTTCAGGTTCTTCGTATATATTGTTCTGGGATTAAAGGCGTGCGCCACCACCTCCCGGTGGTGATTCTATCCTTAACACTAATTGAATCTATGTATTATCTTCCTTCTTAGGGTTAGAGCACTCCCAATTTCGCCAGGGTCAAATCACCTCTCTTCTTCACCCTTAGTCCATACCTCAATTGATCGTTAGCCCACACTATGCACTCAGTAAATCGGTGCTGTACGGAAGCATCGGCGAATGAGTGCTGCAAAGAAGTCGCCAAGATCCAACATTAAACACTTTGGCGGCAGGCAAGTGGAAAGACATTCCCACCGTCCCCCGTGGGAGGCGGGGGAACCTCATTTCACCTCAACAGGTGCTCGACACCCCCAGTCGCTCGCCATCCCGGCCCCGCGCCATCCCGGCCGCGGCCCTCTCACCGGCTCACTCCCCGGGCTCGACTCCCGCGGTGGCTAGCGCGGCCCTGCTCGGCGGCGGGCGGGGACGGGCTAGCGGCTGGGGCGTCGGGCCGCCGGTGCGCGATAGGTTCGGGGCTCAGACGCTCCTGCTTCACCACCACGGTCGCCAGCGGGTCGTCGGCCCGGTGTCGTCGCCGGCCGCTTCGCTCCCGGTCGCTCTTCCCGGCCTTCATCCTGCGGCCCGGCCGAGAGCCACTTGCACGGTCCGTTGAGCAACTCGAGCCGAAGGAAGTGACGGGCCGGCCTTTGTACTTCCGCTTCCGGACAGCGCGCTATCCCAGAAGCCTTCACGGCGAGGCCCCCTTGGTGGGCGTGGCCACAGGTGATGAGGTTCCTATGCTGGGAACACCCGGGCTCGTGACCCTGGGATCCCGGCTTCTGGGCAAGAGAGGCTTGAAGAAAAGTCAGGGCCTCATCTGGAGAGGCTGAGGCAGAGGGATCGCTGTAAATCCAAGGCCAGCCTGGGCAATTTAGTGAGTCGGTCAGGTCAGGTAGAGATTGCTTAGCCCAGCCCAAAGCCCTGGATTCCAGTCCAAATAGAAATTAAAGTTTTGGTTTTCTTTCTTTCTTTCTTTTTGGTTTTTCGAGACAGGGTTTCTCTGTAGCTTTGGAGCCTGTCCTGGAACTAGCTCTGTAGACCAGGCTGGACTAGAATTCAGAGATCCGCCTGCCTCTGCCTCGCGAGTGCTGGGATTAAAGGCGTGTGCCACCAACGCCAGGCTGAAATTAATTAAAGTTAAAAGGGCAGAAAGCCTGGGGATGTATTTTAGCTGTAAAGTGAGCGTTTGCTTCGCGTGTGCAAAGAGCTAGGGGTAATCCCTAGGACCTCAAAAGTGGCCCAAAGAAAAAACATCCTTTTTATCTTCTTCAAGACAGGGTTTCTATAAATAATGTTGGCTGTCCTAGAATTTACTCTATAGACTAGGCTGGTCTCGAACTCGAGATCCGCCTGCCTCTGCCTCCCGAGTCCTGGAATTAAAGGTGTTTGCCTGGCTTTTAAAAAAAGAAAAATCTTATGTGGGAAAGCTGATCCAACGCTGTTTCATGGAGGATTGCTGATAGTTACAAAACACAAATACTCAACAATAGTAAATTCTTTTTTGTTTCTTGAGACAGCATCGCTATGTAATCTTGGCTGTCCTGAAACTCACACAGATCCACCAGGCTCTGCCTTCTAAGCGCCAATCGTTGCTGAACCATCTAAGGAGTCAGGAGATGGCTTCCGTTTTAAGGCTCAGCAAAGGTGGTCTGTCCATTTCGTCATATCCCTTATTAGACTTAGTGCAAGGACTCCAATCTTGTTTACCAAGAAGCCTGGAGCTTGTGGAGCGAGTTCAGTAGAATAAAACCTGCACGTGAACGGCTCCGCCTCCCTACGAAGCCCCGCCCCATCCATGGGGCAAGGCGAGTAGGGGTTTCCATGGTGACCGCAAACAAGGCCCCATCTGAAGGGGCCGCTACAGAGTTGCCACTCTTGCTGCCACCATGATACCTCCCGCAGACTCTCTGCTCAAATATGACACCCCGGTGTTGGTGAGCCGGAACACAGAAAAACGGAGCCCCAAGGTACGAACAGGTCTCGGGGGATTCAAGATCCTACAAATTCCCATGGGGAAAGTACATGCCGCTTTGAGAATCTCTGGAATTTCAGGAGACAGGGATTGCTCCTACTGACAGCCAAGGGAATTAGGACAGGGACAATGGTGGTTGGGAGAGGAGTACGACAAGCCTAGCTGTGACCCCAAATGACAGGTCTAAGATGAGAAAGAAGTCACAGGGAAATGGATGGGGCTTGTGGTAGGTAGGTCCGAGTACAGGCCATGTAGTGACTTCCCTGTCTCTAGGAGTGAGAACAGAAGCCTGACCTTTCACTGACTCTAGAAACACCAGTTTAAACACAGGGTCAGAGCCAGGTAACCCTCTTGGTCCCTTCAGTTCATACTTATGCTGAGACCACAGGGGAGGGAAGTAGGGAAATGGGGAAGTCTGTGCAAGAAAGCTGGGGCCATCAAGAGATTCTGTCTCACCTGTCTCTTAGGCTCGGCCACTGAAAGTCAGCCTCCAGCAGCCTGGACCCTCAGGTCCAGTCCCACAGCCACCCAAGACCAAGCTACCCTCGACTTCCTGTGTCCCAGATCCTACGAAACAGGCAGAAGAAATCTTGAATGCCATCTTGCCTCCAAGGTAGAGAGAGAGAGAGAGAGAGAGAGAGAGAGAGAGAGAGAGAGAGAGGAAACGAAAAAGCAGGGAGAGGGTCTAGGCTATTGGCACCAGAACTTAGATGTGTGGGGTAGAAAGTTTACCTGTGTTCTGCCTTAGGTTTTCATAGAGTCTGAATGTGGCTAGATGCTTGCAGCCAGGCAGGAAACCTCTAAATCCCCATGTTCTTATTAGTTTCATGACATTAGATGTCAGCTATGCAGTCAGCTTTCAGGTATAGGTCTCTAGCCCAGCCCTCTTCCTTCTAAACTCCATTCTTAACATTCTCCTTCCTTGGTCCGTCCATCAAGATTCCCCATAGAGAACCTGGTGTGGTGGCATGTGCTTAATCCCAGCTCTCTGCTAGACACAGGAGGATTGCCTCAAAGCCCAAGCCAGCCTGGACTACAGCGGGTGTGTCAGGCCAGCAAGGTTGTGTCTCAAACAACCCACAAATGTCCAATAAGGCAAGGCCCGGTGAATCTCACCTTTAATCCCAGAACTCAGGAGGCAGAGGCAGGAGGATAAGAGTTTGAGGCTAGCCTGGGCTACATCGCCTAGCTAGAATTTTCAAAAACCTCCACCTAGTGAACATTTTTATACCTAAGGCAATAACGCTTTCTCTCAGAATGAAGGAATCTCAGAGAACCTGTGATCTTCTCCAAGGATGGAAATCAAGAGAGAGGTGCCATTTGTCAATGGATTCTCTCCCACCAACATAGACACTCTCCCTCCCTTTGTCAATCTGCCTGCAAGTTCATCACTGCAGGAATCGGCTGTGCTCCAGCACAGATTCCATAATGGGCAGCTATTGCAAACAGGGCTCTCCAGGAACCTCTGTACTCCCAGCACACACATGTGCTTCCTGGTGGCTTGCATGAGATTTACCATGTTCTGTGTCTCCACCTTAAGCCAGTGTGGGGAATTCCCACTGCATCTTCTATTCAAATCAAGCCGCAGGACCACACATCTGTATTCACCATGCTAGGCAGATATGACCTGCATGAGGGTTGTGGTCTCATGGACAGTGGAGATTGTCCGTCCACCCAACCCTGAGGTAGGTGTCCTGAGGAGGCTGCATAGTGGGTGTGGCTTATGAAAGAGAGGCAAGTTGATTGCCGTGGCGCTGCCTCCCAGTCCTGCTCGGGCAGAGAGTCCCGTTGGCTCACGCTGGGTGGCGTGTGTCTGTGTCACAGGGAATGGGTGGAAGACACACAGCTATGGATCCAGCAGGTGTCCAGCACGCCCAGCACCAGGATGGATGTAGTACATCTGCAGGAACAGCTGGACCTGAAGCTGCAGCAGAGACAGGCCAGGGAGACAGGGATCTGCCCTGTGCGCAGGGAGCTCTACTCTCAGTGTTTCGGTGAGTAGGCTTGGTGGGGTGAGTACTGTACGCTGTCTGCCTCCTTCTAGCACAAAACCAGGCCCTGGTTACCCCTAAACTACCCCCCCCCCATTTAGGACTCAGCTCTTCTTTTTTCCGATTCCCCCGCAGCTTGAGTACAGTCCCCTCCCCCACCAGGCTCCACCTCAGCCTTTGTAGGTGTGCCAGACATAGCCCCGCCCCTCCCGTGCTTATCCCTCACAGATGGTTGTTTGATTTTCGTGCAGATTTAGATTTATTTTTGGGTGCGGGTGTGGGTGCACACATGTGCGCATGCATGTTTTTATGAGGGCACACATGTACCATGGTGCAAATGTGGATTTCAGAGGACAACTTGCAAGAATTGATTGTCGCCTTCTACCATGTTGGTTCTGGTGATTGGCTCAGGTCATCAGGCTTGGTGGCAAGTGCCTTTACCCACTGAACCATCTCACTGGCCCCTTTAGTAGGTATTTGGGATAAGCTAGGCACTCCCAGGTGTAGTGGCACATGCCATTAATACAGGCCCTCAGAAGACAGAGGCAGGCAGATTTCTCTGGCTTGAGGTCAACCTGGTCTGCATAGTGAGTTCTAGGCCAGCCAAGGCTACATTAAAGGAAAGAAGGAAGGAAGAAGACCTTTTTATTTTGAGTCTTTGTTGATTTTTTTCAAAGATTTTCATAATGAACCTGTGCTAATTTTTTATTTAAATTTGAAACAAGCTTGTTTTACATGTCAATCCCAATTCCCTCACCCTCTCCTCCTCCCCTGTCCCCTGATAATTAAAAAACAAACAAACAAACAGGATCTCAACATCTAGCCCCAGCTGCCCCGGATTCTTGATCTGCCTGCCTCTGCCTCCTGAGTATTAGAGTTAAAGTCATGCATTTGAATTTTTTAAAATCTATTTTTCAATTCCAAATGATCAGCGCTGGAAACATACACACAACTAACATTGTGAACAGGAGTGAACAGGTTGTATTTATATATTTAAGAATATTGGCAGTGGGCCTGGAGAGATGGCTCAGTTGTTAAGAGCACTGTCTGCTCTTCCAGAGAACCTGGGTTCAATTCCCAGCAATCACATGGCAGCTTACAACTGTCTTATAACTCCAGTTCTAGGGGATCTGACACCCTCATACAGATATACATGCAGGCAACACACTAAAGTACATAAAAATAAAAAGATTATTTAAAGAAAATAAGGAACAAAGGGATTGAGGAAGATGCTGTGTATTAACCTATAACTGCTGCACACTCACAAATGTCTGTAACTCTAGCTCCTGAAGATCTAGTGCCCTCTTGTGGCCCCCATGGGCACTGCCCATATTTAGTGCACATATGTCAGGCACACTCGTGAGCGCGCGCGCGCACACACACACACACACAATATTAAAATAAATTAATTAATTTTAAAAAAGGATATTAGCAGCCAGGAAAGTGGTTGTTCATGTCTTTAATCCTAGCACTCAGGAGGCAGAGGCAAGCAAATCTCTTAGTTCTGAGTTCGAGGTTATCCTGGTCTACAGAGCAAGTTCTGGGAAAGCTAGGGCAGAAAAACCCTATCTTGAAAAACAAAACAAAACAACAACATAAAAACAAAGACAAGAAAAAAGAAAAAACCACACACGCATATATGTAACAAGAAGAAAAAGTATGAATTTGAAAGACTGGGGGGAGCCATACATGGGAAAAGAAGGATGCAGGAAAGGAAAGAGGGAACCTTATATAACATTCCATAACTGTCAAGAATGAAAATAATTTTTGTTTTGTTTAAGACAGGGTTACTCTGTGTAGCCCTGGCTGTTCTGGAACTCACTCTATATACCAGGGTGGCCTTGAACTCTTATATCTACCTACCCCTGCCTCCTAAGTGCTGGGATTAAAGGCATACACCGCCACTACCTGGCTGGTAATTTTCACATAATTTATTTTTATTTAATTTCTTTGGTGTTTTGCCTGCATGGATGTCTGTGTGAGGGTGTCAGAAGCCCTAGAACCTCCATGTGGGTGCTGGGGATCAAACCCCGGTCCTCTGGAAGGGCAGCTAATGCTCTTAACCCCTCAGCCACCTCTCCAGTCCCCTGATAGTGTCTTCTTATAGACCATATGTTTGGTTTTTGTGTGTGATGTGTGTATGTGTGTGTGGTTGTGTGTGAATGTGTATGCACGTGTGTGAAGACCAGAAGTCAATGTCAAATGTCTTCTATCATTCTCCACTTCTTTTTGGAGATCTTTTGAAAAACTGTATGTGTGTAGGTGTTTTACCTGCATGTATGTATGTGCACATCTATGCAGTGCCCAAGGAGGCCAGAAGAGAGCATTGGAAACCCTGGCACTGGAGTTACAGATGCTTTTTAGCTGCCAAACACCACATATTTTTCTGGAAAAGCAGTCATTAACTGCTGGGTCATCCCTCCAGCCCCTCTACCTTATTTTTTGAGACAGGGTCTCTCACTGAACCTGGAGCTCTTTGATTTAGCAAGACTAACTGGCCAGCAGGCTCCTGTCTCCACTTCCCCAGGGCTAGAATTACATGTGTGCCTCTGTGCCTGGCTTTTTATACGTTGGGAAATCTTAATTTTGCCAGCAATCATTTCCCCAGACCCATGCTTCTGAGAATGTATCCTACGTCCTTCTCAAGAGGAAGGGTAGCTTGCCATAGACAAAATGCATGTCCCCTCACCACTGCCTTTTATCTCCCTGTGTCCACACTGGAAGATGAGCTGATCCGGGAGGTCACCATCAACTGTGCAGAGAGGGGGCTGCTGCTGCTGCGAGTCCGGGACGAGATCCGGATGACCATCGCTGCCTACCAGACTCTGTATGAGAGCAGTGTGGCATTTGGCATGAGGAAGGCACTACAGGCTGAACAGGGGAAGTCAGACATGGAGAGGAAAGTGAGTGGGCTTCACCATGTCCCCATGGCTGCCAGATGCTTCTGTTAATCTTGGGGCATGCAGGTGTCATTGCAACCCTGAACTCTGGTCCTGAGGGTGTCCTCCATGCACACAGTACAAGGCCTTGGTGAGGAGTGGCTCATCTGAGGACACTCCATGCCAATCACTGACTTCCCACTGGGTGGCAGTACATACCCTGGCATTGTCTTAGCAGGGCAGTAGAGTCCTAAGGTTCCCCACCCAGGCTTTCACATCCCCTGGAGAATGTCCCAGGATGATGTCCATTGTATCTGCAGATTGCAGACTTGGAGACAGAAAAGAGAGATTTGGAGAGGCAAGTGAATGAGCAGAAAGCAAAATGTGAGGCCACAGAGAAGCGGGAGAGCGAGAGGCGACAGGTGGAGGAGAAAAAGCACAATGAGGAGATCCAGTTCCTGAAGCGGACCAATCAGCAGCTGAAGGTAAAAGAGAGCCCATTTGTTTCTTCGTTGGTTTTTTGTTTTGTTTTGTTTTTGAGATGTGGATATTCAGTGTGGTGAAGAACACCAGGAGGGAGGAATTATACCCTAAACTCTATCTCCAGCCCTTTTTACTTTTTTTTTGGGGGGGTCTGGATTTTTTGAGACAGAGTCTCATGCAGCCCAGGCTACCCCCAAACTCAAACCCTTCCTTCCTAGCCTCTGTACTGCTGGGATTATAGGCATGTACCACCATGTCCAGCTCTCCTTTTATTAATTTTCTTTTAAAGACTTGTTTTTGGTTTTAGTTCTTCAAGACAGGGTTTCTCTGTGTAACAGCCCTGGCTTAAGCATCACTCTTTTAAATATGGTGCCTATAAGCAGCTCTCTCTTACCTCCCTTACTTAAAGCCAAAAGGTCTGGCCCTTGAGATAAGGAAGGCTTTGTATGAGCCTTCAGCAGAGGATGAGAGATTTTGCTAGTTGTTCAAGAGTCTATTAGAAGAAAAGCTGGAGTCTTCCCCAGCCAGATGTAAATGTTGACTCAGCAGATTCCAAAGCTGGTTCCTTAGTTCCAACAAGACCAAAGCTGAATACCTTAGCTTCCTTCTAACGTCCAAAGGCAGCCCTGAAATCCCTAGGGCGAAGGATTCTTTACAAGAAAGCTCTTTTTATTGGCGCAAAGCTTCACTACAAAGAAAGCAGTGTTTTCAGTCCCCAGGACAGACCTTCTTAAGGGTCTTTCACATATCAGTGCAGTAAATCACTGCTGGCTGCTAGAGGAACTGAGTACATAACCCCCTAGTGTATTATGCTTTCCCTTCTCAGAGGCAGTAATTTCTTCTGAGTGTCAAGTTGTCTAATTTGCCATTTCCCAGACCTCTGGTCCAACCAGAGCTCCACAGTACCAAGTCAGAGAGCCCAATGTTTAACTTAGTGGACATATGCAGGCTTAGAGTAGGAGTGATGGGAAACCACTATTTCAACAACTTTTATTCCATTTCCCTTTCTGTGCTTTCTATTATACACTGCGCTATTATTGTATGGAAACCAGGGCAGCTCTGGTTTCTGCTCATGTAACAAAACCATGCCAAGCCTGAATCCAGCTAATCCAGAAAATGTGGAGCTGAGTCAGAAAGGGGGTGTGCTCAGAGTGGCAGCCTCCAGGGCTCAGCTATGTGTTGTTAAGGTGCAAGATGTAAATACTAATGGAGTCTTGTTTTTGTTTTTCAGGCCCAACTGGAAGGCATCATCGCACCAAAGAAGTGATAATTTCCACATGGGTCTCAGCAGGCACTGTGCCCCACCATAAGCCCATTGTAATAAAAAGCCAGTTTCCTGAGTGAACAAGCAAGCCATCCCCTCCCCTGATCACCACTCATGTAATTGTTAGAACTGTTGCCAGGCTCCTGGTGGGGCTATGGAAGGTGGTGTAACCCCATGTCCATGTACAGTTTATAGATTGGCCTGGGGATTTGTCATCTCAACAACTCAGGAAGCAAGTGTTTCCCCAAAGAAACTACTATCGCATCAAATTCAGTTCACGGTTTACCTTGTACTTGGGCTTCTCTGCCCCCTCCCTTCATTTCTTCCCTAGTGTAACCCTTTAGCAACTCATTTCAGAGTTTGGATTTAGTCTCATTCCCACTCACCAAGTCAGCAGGACCCTGTCCTGTCCTCAGTCTGCCTGGCTCCAGGAGGAAACAACAGCAGAGACAAACTCCTGCTCACTGTGAGGGTTATCAAAGTCCCAGGGCCTCCCGTTACTCACCTGCTGAAAGGACACCAAAGCCTGAGTCCACACTCCCTAACTAGCCATTACTGAACAGCTAAGGAGGCAGGCACATCTCGCATGCAGCTCTAGTCAGGTTATGGCCCAAAGACAGTCTGTAGATCCAGAAGACTTAAATTACAAATTTCCATTCAGGGAAGCCCAGGGCGGGAGAGGGCAGTGAGCTTGGTGACACCCATATTCAATCAAGAGTCGTTTCCTTCCAGTTGCTGGGAATGCCTCAAGTACTCAGCACCCTGAAGGGGTGCCAGAAAGGGCTCACTCCTTGGCAGCTTTGACCTCCATCCCAGTCAAGGCTTACGAACCCAAGAACTGAGTTGAACACCCTGCAACACTCTGACCTTACACTGGACGTCACATCTTTGACTCTCACCCGGTACCCTGAGGAACTAGGTCTCCACTAAAGCAAGCTGCCCAAGCTGCCACCTTCCTGGAAGAGCCCATACCCTGTGTTGTGCTGGCTCTGTGGCCTGCACAGGAAAGCATCTGTGCCCTAGGGAGCCCAGGCAGACTCAGCACAGTTGCTGGCGCACTCCTCGTTTCTCCGGCCCCCCATGAAGTACTTGTGCTTTACAGCCTTTAGGCTCCAATGACCCCTAGGGCTGCATAGTGGAGTAAGAAACACACATGTCTGTAGTGGACACACACACAAGGCCAGGTCAAGTGTTTGAAGAACTCTCTGGGGGATGACTTACTGCTGTCACTAGCACTGGGATACAGCTCAACTGCTACGCTTCCCAAGTGTGTTGTGTCTTACAGATGCCAACTTGGCATGAAAAAAATGAGCACAATTCCTAAGGCATATTTTTGTATAATTTAATAAACAACTTTCTAGATGTTACTGCTTCTGTCTGAATTTCTTGTGTTTGGTCTTCTGTCCCTCTGATTCGTTTGTCTTCTTTTTGTTCCTGTTTCTATTTTTCACATTGTGTGTTTCATAGTAACGCACACCAACTTTTTTGGATTGTTGCTGCCGTGCAGCTCTCCTCCTCTGTAAAACACAACAGAAAAGAAACCAGTCAGACACAGAAGGCCATGAATCAGGAGGCCATTTCCCAGCCCTCCCTCTCCATGCCTATGCAGCTACCATAGCAACGGAAGCAAGGCTGGGGCAGTGTCCAATCCACCTCAGACCTGCCGACCAGCAGCAGACTCTGACTGGGCCCAGCCCTCGCTCTCCCCAGGGGGTCTGCGTCAGCTCTGCAAAGGTGTTCTTCCCAGTTCTTCCCAGTTCCCTGCCTGCCTCACCCACTGTACTCTTTGTATGTCTCCTCCCTGGAACCAAACAAAACCATCAATTCTTCTGGCCAGCAGGACACAACTTTGAAGATGGTAACTAGAATTCCTGAAACTAAGACTCAGATTCAAGGACCTTTATGGAGTGGGCCCTTCTTGACCCAAATTAAATTACATCAGGTCACTAAAAAGTGGGGTTCCTAGGACTCTCAGCTCTAAACGCTTGTTTCAGAAATAGGTTTTTGGAACTGGACTTCTAGTTGGGTACGGTAACTTATACCTGTAATCTCAGCACTTGAGCCTACAACAAGGGGACTGCCTGAGTGTGAGGAAAACAAGGGCCTACAGACCAAGATCCTGCCTCAAAGGAAAGAAAAAAGAGTTGAAGGAATGGCTCAGGGGCAAAGCCTGACAACCTAAGCTCCATCCCCAGGACCCATTTGATGGATAGAAGCTGTCTACAGGTTATCCTCTCATCTCCAGGTGCTCACATGTCATGAGATGCCTGCACACATGCATTCACACAAAATAAATGTAAAAAAAAACCTCAACGCGAACTTCTACTGTTTTTGTGTTGTTTCTCCCCCGTGACAGTTTCACTATGCAGCTCTGGCTGTCCAAAGACTCACCGTGTAGACCAGGCTGACCTCAAACTGAGAGCTGTGCCTGCCTCTGCCTCCCAATGCTGGGGCTAAAGGCATGATGGGCACGTGGGAATGCGCCACAATGCCCCTGCCTCATTAAAAGAAGCAGGGTACTTACTTCCTTACAAGTCAGCATCCTCTGAGTTTTATTTGAAGGTTCTTCTTCCATCTGGGCATTCCGTTTCCTTCCCTTTTTGGTGGGTGCTGGATACAAATGATAAATAAAACAGAGGAGATTAAAAACAGAGACAGCATTTGAAAATCTGTGGAAGACTACAGTGGGGACAAACCCCGTGTAGGGAAACAGACAGAAGCAGGATCACAGCAGGAGGCCAGGGGCACTGTGGGGGTCTGACTTGCATCACTCAGAAACTGTCATAAGTTTAAGAAACATCTCTGGTAGTTTGAATGAGAACAGCTCCATGGGCTCATAATGTTTGAACCCTTGGTCCTCATTGGTGGAACAGCTTGGGAATGGTGACATGTGTCATAGAGGTGGACTCTGAGGCTAAGAAAGCCTCTAGCCATCCTCCATGGGCTATCTGCTTCCTGTTTGTGGATTTGTGAGCACTCAGCTCCAGTGAGTGCAGTGAGTGCCATGCCTGCCTGCCCACTGCCATGTCCCTTTCTGGGACGGATTCCTATCCCTCTGGAACTATAGGCCCCCTTCTGCTAGTTGCTTTGGTTATGTGCTTTATCATATTATCATAGCAACAGAAAAGTAACAGACCTCCTGCCCAAGTTTGTCTGCAGACTCTTCTCTTCCACTGTGGTGTTATTAATATGCACTTTCCTTTCTTTGGTTTTTGTTTTGTTTTGTTTTTCCCAGACAGGGTTTCTCTGTGTAGCCCTGGCTATCTTGGGACTCACTCTGTAGAACAGGCTGGTCTCTAACTCACAGAGATCCTCCTGCCTCTGCTTCTCAAGGGCTAGGATTAAATGCATGCAGTGCCACTGCTGGCAAAAATGAGGCTTTCTCTTTTTCTGGGTTTTGAGATGGGTTTCTCTGAGTAACAGCTCTGGGTGCCTTAGAACTCACTTTGTACACCAAGCAGGCCTTGAAAGATCTGCCTGCTTCTGCCTCCTGAATGCTGTGATTAAAGGTGTACACCACCGCCTGTACTATTTGAAAAGCAGTATTCCAGAGCTATCAACTTTGATCTTAACAAATGTACAGAATTTCAAGTGTAGAATCCAATTCCCATGGTAAGCTGGATATGAAACCAGACGCCTAGCATCTACCTAGATGGAAGAAATTATCCTAAAGCTACAAAACATGTCTAAATGGCTCAAAATCAGCCTCACCTGCATCACTGATTTCTGCAGATCTTTTCTTCTCTTCTTCATATTTTGCAAAAACCTTGTCACTTAAGTCCTTGGATATTCTGAAAAATAAAAGCAAAGTCACAAAGCTGCCCAGCACTCCCTTTTAACTGCTCTAAACTGGCCGACTTGAAGAGGTGCCAACTCTTGAAGGAAAAAAGTCCACCATGTTTGTGGTGATCGCTGGGTGATACAAAGTCCAGCAGTTCATACAGCTCCTGGGCTAAAAAACTAAATAACCAAAGTCCTTGTATTTCAGGTGGCCGGAGATGACAAATTACAGCTTAGTTTTTTTTTTTTGTTTGTTTGTTTTTATTTTAATTAAAGCAACCATTTCTATCTCCTAGAAAAATACTATTCAGATTGGGATTGCAGCTAAGTGGTAGAGCACTTGCCCGGCAGACCTAGGCCATGGCTTCCACCTTAATTACTTTAAACTAATTCCAAAGTCAATGTTCATGGCAAGTGAGAAAGGAACAAGCAAGAGAATTACAAAGAAGAAAGGAGGAGGAGGAAAGAAGAGAGAAAGAAGGAAGGAAGGAGGGAGAGAGGGAGAGGAAGAAAGAAAGATCTGACCTGATGGCTGAGAACTTCTTAGCTTTGGCTTTATTTAGAAACTTCTGGTACTTGGCAATCTTTTCATCTAAGGCTCTAATCACAGCTTTGGTGTCCTTTCCCACTGGCTCTTCCTGAGAGTCCTGGAAAGGCGCTTCCTCAGCATCTTCTCCTGGCTGCTCCTGTTCGGGTTCCTCCTCTTCTGCTGAAAGGCTTCCCAGGTCTTCCTCGATGTCTGACAGCTCCACAGGAACTAGGTCATCTGCAGAAAACTGAGGCCCCACATTGATTTTGCCGAAGTTCTGGCGGACACGTGTGAGGATTTGTTGCATCTCCGAGTTTGAGTCCTGGGAACGGTCTGCTTCTGGTTCCTTTTCAATGGTAGAGTCTGACTTTTTAACTATTGCTTCTGAGATCTCTTCTTCCGGGCTGTTCTCGATTGTTTCTGTGGGAAGTTCCAACGGTGAGGAAGGTGGAAGCTAGTAAGGACCAAAAGTGGTATGAGAAAGAGAATCAGAAAAGGAAACCCATGTTTTAATTCCTACCTAGCTCTCAACAGTACTCCTCTCAGATCTAAACAAAGAGGGGAAGACCATCAAATTTGAACTGCATCATTCATCTATTCTGAGCGAACGTAACTCAACGTAGTAGCCAAACACCAGAAAGGATAAAAGGGACAGAGCTCTGATTCGGGAGGAAACGTACCAACCCAATGGAACCAAATAACCAATGAATGTCCTCCTATGGGTAACAGAATAGGGAGCAGAGGAGGCCCATAGAAAAATGGAAGACACAAGTCC